CGGGGATGTTGAAACATCCCTGACGGCAAGCCCGTCGGGGATAAACATCCCCGACGGCAAGCCCGTCAGGGATGTTATATAAAAATTTACTGGCTACCAACACAGTCAAGTCAGAGATTGGGGACCACAAGACATCATATACATATATATATCCGACAAAAAATGAAGTAATTTCAGCGACTGATGATAAATTCCTTCACAGAAAACATAGACAAATTTTATTGCAGACCAACTAGTCTGAACAATTGATACAGGAACAATTGCAGACAACAAAGACAATTTAGGAATTATAAGAGTCCTAGGCTCCTTATTTCCACAGACTTCGAGTCTATCAAAAAAAAAGATTATAAGATCTGGGGAGAGATTTCCTCACAACACATACATATATTCATAAATATATTGAATATTCCTTCACAGCCATAAACACGCTGAAAGCTAATTCTTTACGGTTGTGACCTGCCTCAAGAGCATATCACCCACATCGCGAGAGACAAGTGATGATTGTTCCTTCAGCTGGAGGATTTTGCTCTCAGTTTCTTGTTCAAGGCGCTTCACATTAGCACCAGAATCACCGCTGCTCTGTTATACCAGTGAATAAGAAAAGGGTAAGAATGTGGACAAGCTAGCACATATAAGAGATAGCATGTAAGAAGACCACGCCGACGATATGGCATGTGAGAGAATAGAAAATGCTAAGACGAGATGAACTTGAAGGAATTGATCAAGTTGAAAAATTCAAGTGAGTGCAAATTCTGTCAAGAGTATTATAAATGAATACCAAAATTTGTAAAAAACAACAATTCATTTGTAAAAAACAGTCTAAGGTTGATATCTTGTGGAAGATTCTCATATACACTAAATCCTAATTACACTATGACCTGGCTCGACCATACAATGTATGTCAGTGGCGCACAAATTCAGTATGCAGTGAATGACCAGCCTGTAAATAAAACGATCATGCTTATGTGAATTTGTTATTATTTGTTTTAAGGGAAATGCCAGAATATAAAGGGGGAAAAGAGACAGTGAAGTGCGCCTTTCCTGATTTGGACTTGCCGTTATATAGATTACTGTTATTTAATTTGTTAATAAGTACTATTAGGTTTGTTGTGCTATGAGAAAAGAAATATTGATGCAAAGATAAAATATTGATGGAAAGACAGGAAAGAAAACATAACAAGATGACAATGAATCATCGTATTTTGCAGGTAACATATTATCTTTTTCCAACAAGATAAAGCCCAATGACATATGAAATAAATAATATTGTTAGCGCTAAAGCGACATTTATGAGACAACCACCAATAACTGAAGCAACAGTAAATGTAGCAAAGGCTATTGCACCTGCAAACCATTGCATTTTCCAGTGATCCCCCTTGAATGAGACCAGCTTTGTGCATCATTTCGACCTGTAAACAAGTCGACTCCATAATGAGGTTTGTAAATATATGTAAGATAAAAACAATCCAATTACAAAAAAGACCACTCTCACATGCTTCAATACATTCTAGAGGCTTCGTCACATAAATAGCAACTCAACCTTAAAAAAAGAAGAGAAAGCTCTTTGATACCTCTACATCCAAAACTGTATTTCAATGGAAGATAGGGGCATGGTGGAGGTGGCAGCATATTTTATGTCCAAGTGATGGCTCAAAGGTAGCCTAAATGTATCCAGCTTTGAAGTGGCAGTTTACAACTCTATCCTGAATAGCCATGAGCCCGTTCTTCCACTCGAGGAGCCTCAATTTATCCAAGCCTATTAGTAGCACCAACTGCCTTTATCTTGAACTTATCAATGTGTTATAGGTTACAGATTAAAACTTTTATCTTATAACAACATTTGAGATTAACATAATTAAAGTAGTAAAGCCAAAAATACATTATAACTAGAAGAAATTGTATATAAACCTCTTCATAAATGCAGAAGGTTCTTGAAGGAGCTATTTCCTTGGAGTAAATTGCATCATCCGTGAAACATGAATACCACTGACATCCAAAGTGACCTCCATAAATGCTAAAGTTGATTATTCCAACACAATCATACATCCATACACTGCCTGCTTGCACCTCGCCCTCCCGTCCCAGAATTCACCCAGCAACGACAAGATACAAACACAGGCACTCACACACAAGTACACTCACCCGCAGACACTAACACCTCTTTGTCCCACATGCTAGAGAATGTTTTCCATTTCTGGCTTAAGCTCACAACTTAGTATCATTTCATTACAACTTTTAGGTATTAGCCCCTCATAAGTTAGTGACTGTCAATTTCTTTCAAATGGATTTGAAATCTTAGAAGCCTACTGAATGAAATCTTTGTATACAACACCAACATAAGGTGATATATAGACCAAGCAATATTGAAAAAGACCCTACTTTTTTGGTTCAAATTCTTACCTCTTCATGAACCTGTTCGGTTGAAAATAATATGCATCCAAGTGCTTCAAACTCAAAAAGATGCAAAACTACAGCACTCAAAAAAGAAATGTAAGATCAGCTTGGATCTCCTGCATAGCAATCCAAGAAATCGAGTCTCAAATAAGAAACAACAAAACCTAAAATCACAAAAAAAAAATTAAAAAATCACTGACGGAGGTCTCTGCGAGTTGCTCGGGGGCGGTGCCGCGGCGAGTCCGGCGAGAAATCACTGCGAGTCTGAGCGGTTCGGTGCCGCCGTGAGCGACGAAGTGGAGACTGGGGTTCGGGGCCTCGACGCGCCGGGGGTGGAGTCGGAGAGGAGCGGGAGGTGATGGCAATAGCGAACCGAGATTTGGAGAGAGGAGATTTGGGGATTTGGAAAGCTGGAGAGAGGAGATTTGGAGAGCGGAGGTCGAACTGGAGGCGGAGGTCGTTTTGGGGGTAGGGTTCGTGTAGAGGGAGAGAGGAAATTTGGGAGCGGATCAAGAGGTTTTGGGGGAGGCGAAGCTGAGGGCAGGGGGTTTCTTCCATGGGAAATCCGAACTGAGAGAGGCGGACCCGAATTTCAGGAGCAAAAATGAAATTTTTGGAGGGATGAATCCCCACCAAAAATAATTCAACATCGCTGACGGCACCCCGTCAGCGATGTTGGACCTCCCGTCAGCAATGTAAACATCGCTGACGGGAAATTTTCATTACCGACGGCCACATCCTTGACGGCTATTCCCGTCAGGGATATAAACAACGCCGACAGCATTCTCCTGTCAGGGATGTTGCCGTCAGCAATACTACGAATTCTACTAGTGATGTAACAGTGAAACTTAACATATTATCCTGAAAGTTAACATATTCAGCTGATAGTTAGCGTGCAGAGATGAAATATAACATGTTCATAAGAAAGTTAACATATACAGATGAAAGTTAACATATACAGCTGATAGTTAACATGTTCATGTTAATGTTAGCATATAAACCTGAACGTTAACATATACACCTGAAAGTTAACGTATACAGATGAGAGTTAACATGCTCACGTGAAAGTTAACATGTTCAGGTTAAAGTCAACATTTTAGCTTAAAATTAATATATTCAGCTGAAAGTTAACATCTTCACTTTAAATTCTATAGAATTTGAAAGTCAACGTGTACAGTTAAAAGCTAACATGTTCATCTCAAAGTTAACATAATCAAATAAAAGTTAACATGTTTAGCTGAAAGTTACCCAGCTAAAAGTTATCCAGCTGAAAGTAGTTGTAGCATCAAGACATTTAATAGAAAATACAAACAGTATACCCCAGCTAACTAAGTACATTACACAAAACTTCATACATTCTTACAACTGATATTGCTTGGGTACACAATAGCATTTTTGTGGCAGCATATTATCATTTTTATAGCAGCATATTATCATTTTCTTGCATCTGAAAGTTAACATGTTCAGCTGAGAATTATCGTCTTCAAATGAAAGTTAACATGTTCATATTAAAGTCAACATGTTAGAATGAAAGTTAACATATATATATATATATATATATATATATAATATATATTTATATATATATATATGTATGTATATATATATGTATTATATATATATATATATCTATATATATATAGATATGATATATATATATGTATATATATATATGTATATATTATATGTATAATATATATGTATATATATATGTATATTATATGTATATAAGTATTATATATAATATATATATATATTATATATATATATATTATATATATATATATAGATATTATATATTATATATATATATGGTTATATATATAAATATATAATAGTATATATATTATATATATATATCATATATATATATATATATATTATATATATATATATATATATATATTATATATATATATATATATATATATATATATATATATATATATAAATATATTTATTAGTAATATATATATATATATATATATATATATATATATATATATAGCAGAAAGTTAAAATGTTCAGCTGAGAGTTAACTTGTTCAAGTGAAAGTTAACATGTTCACGTTGACGTTAACATGTTCGGCTAAAAATTAACATATACAATAGAAGGTTAACATGTTCAGCTGAGAGTTAACGTTTTCAAGTGATAGTTAACATATTCATGTTAAAGTCAGCATGTTTGTCTGAAAGTTAACATATACATCTAAAAATTAACATGTACAACTTGTAGTTAACTCTTTTAATCAAAAATTAATATGTTTAGTTAAAAGTTCACATTTTTATTTTTTCAGTCTTAGCATACTTCCATGAATCAATTTTCACCAAAAAAGTTTGTTAGGTTATGCTTCCTACAAATAACCTGAAGATTTTGAAGCAAAGTGAGAATTGATGGCCAAGTGGATGGAGATTGTTTTCATTCACAAATGCCACACTTATTTGGACTAATTCATAAAGAAACATGAAATATAAGTCATCTAAACTATGCTGTGTTTCACATAAATAGTTCATGACCTGCATATATGTTCAATGTCATCGTTTCTAAAGTAGTTCACAAACTGTGTGTTCAATGATAAAACCACAGATCAACAACAATTACCATAGCTGGGGAATAAAACATGAACAATCCATGGACCCAATATCTGAATGACAAGTAAGACACAAGAAAAATGATAAAGCACCAAAAATTCATATAGGATATCCACATTAGACATCTCCAATCCAATTTCTCCATTCACAAGTCCAAAATATAACAAGTATATAAAACACATCCCCCTTTGAAGCTAGCACATACACAAAGTGCTTAAGCTGCAGGACCGAACAACAAATCCTACCTAATATAAAAGAACTCACACTAAATGCTGTCAGCATCAGCTTCATTACATCAAGCTGCTTAAATTCGAAAACCAACAATCATTCAGATTCACAATGCTAATCAGAAACATCCCAAGGAATGAGCAACAAAGCTTTTAACATACTACACCAATGATTTTTGACATATAAATAGTATATCGACAATCACCCATATGAAGTTTGTACACACTCACTACACACTCAGTTGCCCCTTGGTGATGAGGGCCTCGTGGGCCAGCTCATCGCTGGTGATGACGATGAGAGTGTGGGAGCCTATGTGGAGAGAGAATATTAGGACGTAGAGGGTGCGGAGGTCCACGACTCGTAGAAGCTGGTGGTCCATGACTCGATCATCTCGGGGATATCGTGATTATCCATCCCCTACCGGAGGCCAATCCTCTCCGCGTACTTGTTAACCTCCACATGGGTTTTCAATCTAATGACCGCGTCCTTCTCTTTAATCCCAATCTTGTAGGAGAAGAAGAGTAGCCCAGAGGTGGAGCCAATGATCGTGATGACGATGAAGCTCACTACCACTAGGGTGTTGAACCTATTGAGTACGAATGAGGTCATGTACCTTCACCACATTGCTCTAAATTACCCGACAGATGATCATTAGATCAGGCCCAGCCCGCATGGTGGCCATCGTAAAGATGGGATCTTTGATCATATTTGAAATGGGGTACCTGCTGAGCCTGGAACAGAGCGGGGGGAGAGCAAGAGCTGCAACGTTGGCTCTGTTGAGTCGGTTGCGCCGTCGGACTGATGAGATAACAGATAGCATCCTGGCAAGCCTCCTCTGTGGCTGAGATCTAGAGGCATAGAAGACGAAGCCAGAGAGGAGAAAGACGGGTAGGGAGAGCAAGCCGATCCGCTCGATGGAGGAGGAACAAAATTGCGTCGAAGGAGATGAGTAATTGCATCAGCTTAGAGAAGCTGAATCTTCGACCTCCCGCCGACGGAGGGCGGTGGCTGGCGGCCGGAGAGGCGGAGCGAGGGCTCGTTGGGAGTCTGAGGAGGGAGGCGGTGGCGGAGCGGAGAGGAGGTGAAGTGGGATTAGTGAGGAGGCGTGTTGTGGAGGAGGCCTGAGGTGAACGCCGGGCGGGCCCCAGAAGGAGACGAGGGCGGTGTGGATCTCATGAAGGGGCACGGAGCAGAGGAGGGACCACTTGATGTCGGATAATTATGATGGCAGTGATCACCGGCTCCATGAGTTAAAGAAAAGATTTCCTGGGTGAGAGATGAGGACATTTTCGGTAGTTTATGAAAAATACATTGAGTACATGTATAAATGTGGACTTTTGGGACTGAGGCACACTTTGTAGCCTCTTTTGGGGCTAAAGAGTAAAGAAAAATAGATTGGGGGCTGGCCCACATCCACTTTATTTTTTGGGGGCCTGTTTGTTGGAAATTTGCAGTAAAAAGACAATGAAAGAAAATTTGACTTGTATTCCCTCAAAATCAATTACAATTTGGATTCCGATTACAAAAGAGAGGAAAACGAATTTGGTTTTCCCCTTTGTTTAAAACTGGGTTCTTCTTGGTAGCGATGGAGTGCCTCCTTCGATTGATCTCGTCGAACTTGCTCTCCGTTGACGATCCGACCGTCCTTCTTCACTGACTTCGGTTTAGAACTCTTGACGAGTGTAAAGAACTCTGAACGAGTTAAGAACTCTGACAAGAGTTGTTGAAAACCGACTGTTTGGTTTGATGAGATTAAGTTGGGTTGCAAACTTAATCACGAACTCTTAAAATGAGTTTCAGAAATAAACTCAGAGTGAGTTAAAACTCTATAACAGAGTTGTTGGAACCGAAGATTCGGTTAATTGCCAAGTGGACTAGGTTGTTGATGAAGGGATCCCTCGGGATTCGATTAACTGATCGTTGATCAGTTCTTTGATTTCCAAAAGATCTTCTTCTTCGTTAAACTGCTGAGATTTGATGACCTTAGGCGGTTTTGATGCCAGCTCACCTAAACCTTATGCGGTTTTGATATCAGAAAATCGATCAACCGACCAACCCCTTACTCAGTTGAGTAAGTTGGTTATTTATAGGGTGATGTGGGGTGTAACCAACCCCTATTTCCGCTCCTTTGTGGGCGAGAATCCCTCAGAACGTGGGATAACGGCTTTGAGGCCGTTCGGC